CGTGGCGGGCGGGGAGAGCCGCAGCGCGTTGTCGGGGAGGGAGGCAGGCTGTGTGGGGGCCGGGAGGGCAATACGTAATTGCAGGCCTAGTAGTCCTTCCTAGAAGCACTTACTGTCGGGTTCCAGATAGGAGCCCCCGGGGAAGCTGGAAAGCTGTGTGGCCGTGGCTGTCAATTCCCATTGTCGCCCGTAAGTAAAAATTACCTCCAGAAGCGCAAACCGGGAAAGGTACCGTTTCTGCCCTCTAACGGCGTAAGTGAATTTTGATAGCACTCAGAAATGAGTGCTGTCGCTCAGGTCTGGTGCAGGGACAGTTTGCCCTCATCCATACTCTCATTCTTGTAACCTGCAGCGGCGCAAGCTGGACTGTTCGTGGCTGGGACAGTACTTAAACTCCCACCGTGGTAGTCACGTAAATAAAATCCATTGTGGGTATAGGACTGTGCTAGCAAGTTACCTCTGGCTCTTCCTGCAAGGTGATATTTAAAAGAAGTTGGTATCAGTTAACTAAAGGTGACCATAAGGGCACGTTCAACAGCTGCAGTGTTGCTAGTATTCAGAAGTACCTGTTCACCCCAGCTCGATCCCTTCAGGATTGTTCCTACCTAGGCAAGCTGAGGTACGGGTTACAGGTCAGATGTTGCAGGTGGGTGTAGTAGAAGGTTCTGTTTGCAACATTGCATCCTCTGTAAAATAAACAGTTACAGCAAGTGTTGTCCCGGCAGCTTGCTGATCCTACCACCGCTCCACCTCTCCATCGGTACCCCCACACCTGCACTGCACTGCAGCTTTCCCTCCCTTTCGGTGTGCGTCAGAGGCTACTTGGATCCTCTCTGGTTTTCAACCTTTTTTTCCTGCACGGATTAGATGCAGGAAAACTCAGCATTTAAATTCGTTGCTCTAATAGAAAAAGGGATATTGATACCTCAGAGGGGTTAGTGGCCTAGACCTCAGTAGATAGGCAAAATGTCAGCCAGTTAATCAGTTGCATATAAAACTTTTCTAATGCCAACTAGTTCACAGTCCCTTATTTCAGGGTCTTGTGAAACATATTTTGGAAAAGTTGTTGGGTTTTTTTCTTGTTTGGAAAATATTGGTGTTCACCTAAGAGTAAATTCAAATTTGAGAAAATCAGGCAATTGTTGAACTGAATAGAAGGTTGTATTCCCACAGAGAATTCAGAAGAAGCTGCATTAAAGGAATGATGTATTTATTTGATTGTGCAATCCATCCCATGGACAGAGGTATTTTGCTAAATTATACAATGTTGAATGAGGACAGGCAAAAAAATAAAACCCGAAATATTTTATAAGTAAGCTTCTGAGTGAACAGATTGACTGTATATTGTGCAGCACCAATAAAGTTGTTGCTAGAAGTATTTTCTAAAGCAGAATCACCTCATCAGTTTCTGTGGGTATTTTCTTGTGAAGATTTCCTCTTGAAAAGATCAAAAACAGATGGCCTGAAATGGACTTCGCATAACAAACGTACTGCAGCTATTCACTGCCATTTATTACTGTACTATTTGCTCAGTGATTAATCCTTTATTTTCACAGACGTGCAGTGAACAGCTGTAATGTCTTTGCAAATATAATTTATATGACATTTAGAGCTTACTAGGGAGAGAAAGGGAAATCTGTCAATGGTGTAATCACAGGAAGATTTGCTTGTGGAGGTCACAAAATTGTAGTAAGAAATCTGTTTCCATTATAAATGTACCCTCTGTTGATAGGAACTCTCAAATATTAATAACGTTCTTAATTCCTATTGCCTGAAGGCCTTGTGTTTGGTCATCTTTCATGAACGTGCATCTCTCAAAATTATGTGATACTTTTTCCCCTTATCCAAGATGCATGGTAAAAACTATGCCACAAAATAATATCAAGCACCTTGTTTCTCCTCAGTGACATATGAAAATCAAATCTTAACAGTGTTTACATGGTCCTCATATTTGTGGGTAGTAATAGTCTCAGGATCATTTCAAGGGATAGATAAAAGCCCAGGATTGCAGGAGTAAAAACTTGCTATACTGCAGTGTTCTGTATTCTTTTTCAAAATCCAAAAAAGCAAAAACAGGTTGCTGCTGCACTGTTATCTTTGTTCCTTTCCCGTGCCATTCACTATCTGTAGACTGTCCTTCTGACATTAATTTGCATAGCTATTGCTCTGTCCTTTTCAAATACGTATTAAGAATTTCCTCTCTCGTGATATGTTTAAACTGCTTAATGGTAATGGCTAGAGAACGGCACTCTGATCAATATGCTTTGTGATTAGTGGACCTGCTGCCTTCCTACTTAACTGATTAGTCCTCTAATCTGTATATGTAGATAAGAATATACACAACCTTATGCTTTCCTTACTGCCATTCCTATTTTTCTCTCTTCCTGATCCCTTACCAGTAGTTTATACCCTTTCACTCTAGGGAATGGGCCTGATCTGGGCCCATCTTTCCCCCCAAAGTGCATTTTTTTTCCTCAAATTGTGAATACTGTATACTCACTACTGCATCAAAGCTAACAGTATATTACAACAGTATATTAATATTGCTTGAAAAAATTCCATAAGTTGTGCTTGAAGTACATATAATTATGTCATGTTAGTGTATCCTTTAGACCATCTCTAGCTGTTTTCTGTGTTTGAACCATCTTCCATTTAGCAGAGAGGCTCCCAAAAATGCAGATCAACTTTGCACTCTTACCAACTAATCAGTAGTGGAAGTTGAAATTTAGTATCAAATAATTACTGTCTTTATACTCCAGGAAACTACAGTGAAGTTATTGTAGGGAACAATGAAGGCAGAAGAGTTCTGGAAAAAATGGTGAAGGGAGCTTGTAGTTTTAAATCTAAAATGTAAACTTGATTAGGCTTTTTAAAAATAGGTATTTGTATCAGTGACTGACTTCTTTATTTTAAGTTTAATTGCCAGAACATTTTAGGATCACAGCAATGAAAAAATCCTGCTGGAATGATGCAAACATCTTGAATGTGTGCATTAATATTAGTGTAACTCTCAGGAGTTGCAATCACAATGTGGGCTATAGCTAGATCTTATATACGTATGTGTTAACAAAAAGTATATTTCTGTCCTATGTTCTCCTGACCTTTTCCCTCCCTTCCCTGCTTGGGTTTTAGTTTGTTTTTTTTTTTTAGTGTAACCATTATGTATTTTCAATGCGTTCTTCATAGTCCATTTTTTCAGTGATCTGCCTGATCAGTGGTCAGACTGATAAGCATTTTCATCTCAGAATTTAAGCATGCCCTTCATGCTCATTCCCTTCTGTTCCTGGAGTTAGATTATAGGCAACATCAGCTAGGATCAGAATCAGATTATGCCAGAACAGTATGTGATCTTGGAGTAGAATCAGTGCTTTATTAATAAAGTTACACTTGAAAAGGGAGACGAGCAAATCTATCTACTGGAGCCGAATGGAGTAGAGCTGGTATAAAAGACATTATGACATGGATTCAGAATGGCTTTTGGGAAGTGAGACATCAGCAGAGGCTAAAACTGAGGCCAGCCTCCTAGGAATGAAAATCTAATTGTAATTAAACAAGGATTGGCTAAGGAGTTGACCAAAACTTTTGAAGTAAGTGACATGCAAGAAACTTTCACCCAAAACGAAGTGTTTTGCAAGCCTAGAGGACGAGGAAGATCTTTCCCCGGTACTGCCTTCTTTACCATTGTGAGCAAATTTACTCTTTAATTGATTATTTACTTCCGATTCACCAAGCAGAAAGAGAAAAGGCTGGCATGTACAGTTCCAGCCTTCCATTTACAATAGATGCAAGAAATAATCAAGATCATTTATGGTCCAGGTAGGAAGCAATATGAACCGTTTCCGTAAAGACAAGC